GAAAAAAAAAAAAAAAAAAAAAAACGACCCTCGTAGTTCATAATCATTGAGTTAAAAAATTATTCTATGATAAAAAGGAAATCCGAGTTCTACGCCTAATTTTGCCTGTTGATTTGGATTTGGCGGTTGGTACGGTTCATGATCAAGATGGGGCCCAGTCTAAACTTTGTGGATCTGATTTGTGTCCCTACATTTATAGGTTGAAGAATCCTTTATTGCTATAAAGCCCCTTTGTGTATTTCTCCAAACCACCAAATTAGTTGAGAGTTGACCCAAGGCTAGCATGATTATTGTTGAGGCCTGAGCTTTTATTGCGTTTATTATAAAGCGTTTGGTTTTAACCGCTGAAAGCTGAAGTTGGCTTTGAAGGGGACAAACCAATTATTGTCCTTCTAAATTTTATATCGGAAAGAAAAAAAAAAAGAGGGATATAATGTGGGGTTAGTTATATAGTAATATTTGTTATGATTTCCCATTCAATGAATTTGAAAGTACTACTTTAAATCATTAAAAAAAGAAAAAAAAAGTACTACCTTAAATTAGAATAGAGTGGTCCATAGCAACACTGGCGCTTCTACGTTTAAATTAAACCTATCAATCTATCATTATCAAGTTAGAGTTACTGCTTCAAATAGGCCAAGAACACCTCCTTAATTTTCCTTTAAAAGCAAAGGTTTAGCCTATCTTTAATCACTTAGAATCCCTACTTTATATACAAGAGAAATTGGCGGAACTCATAGAGCCATAAAAAATAGACATATGTCATATCATAATATCACAAAAAATTAACGTGTATCACAACATAAATACACCTGTGTTCCTTTATCCTATCAGAAGATGACATGTGGATATCTAATCTTTGGTTCACCTAAGGGTATGTTTGTTGATAGAAGTAAAAGAAATAAGAAGTAAATAAAAGAAGTAACTTCTAGAAAGATGAAGTAGAAAGTAGTAGAAGTAGCATTGTTTTTGTTTGTTTCACAAAATTTTAGAAGTAGTAAGTAATACTTCTTCCTCTTCATTCTTTTTTTTTTTGTTTGTTTGTTTCATAAACTTTTGAAAGTAGGAAAAGAGGAAGACGAACTTTTTAGATTTTATTTAGAGTGAAGAATTTTTTTTGTAATAATAAACTGGATTTTGTTCCTAAATTGATGGAGATTTTAGCTACTTTTGAGGTACTTTAGAGCTCTGAGGGATAGGAAAAGACTCAGGAAGTAGGGGTGCCATATATACGCCACCATCATGAGAAGTATCGAAAATAGCATTTCATGAGAAACAAACACAAATTTTTGATAGGAAATAGCAGAAGTAGCTTCTACTTTCTTTACTTCAGCTACTTCATGGTTACTTCCATGCAAATAAACATACCTTTAAGTACTCATCAAATTGAACTATCCATATTTAGTAAATTCTAATAATCAAATATTTTGTAATCCTTATCAGATCTTAACAATCTATAATTAAAAAAAACAATCTCATTGTCATATATTTACATATATAAATTTAAGAAAAAACTCATGGAGGGTGCCTCTTTACATAAATTCACGGGTTAGTTTTAGAAAACTCTACTCAACTATAGGGGTGCCTTAGAAAACCCCCTCAATTATTTTAATTTTATAAACCCCCTCAATTTTGAGCACATTTTATATAACCCTCGCAACTATGTAAATTTGAGATAACTTACACCCCCTGGCCCCCCCAACCCCCAAAGTTTTACCACTTAACCCTCCTCAAATATGGTGTGTGTCTTAGAAAACCTTCCTTTACTATTTTAATTTGAGTAACCCCCTTAAGTTTGAGGCTATAGTGTATAACCCCTCTCAAGTTTGAAAATTCGAAAAATTCTCCTGAATTCTTTTTACTTTATGCCTTGAAAGCTAACACCATTAGGTCTCAAATGCCACGTGATAAGTAGGCGACTAAGAAAAGAATGAAATACCCATCAATCATTAAAAAATACTTTAAATTTTTTACGACAAGAGAAAGAGAGGATAAAGAAAGAAAAAACATTCTAAATTGATCAAGGTCTTCTTTCTACCAGTTAAACGTCTCTTTGTAACTTAATGGAATCAATTTTCAATCAGGTGTTTTAGTTATTTGACATTTCGAAATAACGTTTGGGGGCATAGTTATCTGATACAGGGTGTTTTAGTTATTTGACATTTAAAAAACATTAGGGGACTTTGGGGAGAAAAGTATGAAAGATTCTTTTTTGGGGGTTGGGGAGCTCATGTTTCTCTAATTTTCAAAGTTGAGAAAGATTATCTATAATATGCTCAAACTTGAGAGTTTTTTTCTCAAATTAAAATAGTTGGAGGAGGATTTTTTGAGACATCTACCATAATTGAGAGTGGGTACCCTAAAATTAACCCTATAAATAGTTGGAGGAGGATTCTGTTTTATTTTTATTTATTTATTTATAGGGTTAATTTTATTTCTTATTTATTTATAGGGTCAAATTAAAACAGTTGATAAGTTAGTCAATTTTTTCTTTATTTCTTATTTGACATCCTGCCTTTACTGATTTTTATAAAGAGGGGTTATTGTTTCACTCGTAAAAAGTAAATAAATTATTTACACAAATTAATAGAAATATTATTTCAAATTATCTGTGCTTTTAACAGAATTTTCCTATTAACTAGATTGAAATTCTAACGAGATTTTAAGATTATTCTAGGAATAAATATTTAGATTCTTATGATTATTTTATGGATATTTTGAAACCAAATAATTAAGTTAAAATTCTAATACAAGAATCACAAGATTGAGGCTTAAGCATGATATTTTTTGGGATTAAAACAATATGTGAATGTTTTATATCTCATCTAACTGTGACATTTTATTTGATGGCTTCATGTTACATGGTTTAACTCAATGTACTCTTCAGCTCATACCAAATCTCCAAAGCTTTTTTGTCATAAAATGTCAATGTAAAATGACCTTATGTGCTGACAAAATCTCTGCATTTCCTACATTGAAGAGATATTTCCAGTGTTGTAATCAAAGGAGGAGCACTGAATTTTTTTAATATCCTTTTTTTATTTTTGAATATTATAAAAAAGGAGGAATTTTACAAAGGAGAGTTTGATGGTAAACAATCTAAATTTTGGATTTGAAATTTTAAAATAAAATTTATCTATGCCATCATGGTAAGCCGACTTTTTCTTTTTCTCTTTGTATCTTAGAATATTACAAATAAAGAGGAATATTGTAAAGAAGAGGTTGATAATTATACTATCAAATTCTAAGTTTTAAAATTTTAAATAAAATTCATCCACCCCTTATTTTGAATTTTTTAAGTTTTAAACTATTTGAAGAAGAGACTTCAGCTCGGATTATCTAATTTTCAATAATCCATATGCTATAAGTTATTGGTATAAGTCATTTGTATGCCTATATCCATTAAAAAATAGAATATATATAAAAACATATCCATAACCTTGCAAGCTAGCTAATGACGTGGGGTTCAATTCCGGCTACCCGCTCCATATTACTTATTCTACAGGCGGTGCAAGCACGGGCAAAATACTTGTTAGTATTAACAAGCTTATTTTTTGGCAAAACTAGCTTTTAAGCTAGATTTTTCATTTCTATCTGTTTAGTAAAAATGCCTAATAAGTTAGCTTATAATTCCTATTTTAAAAAGCTGGTATACCTCAGCTTTTAAAAAAAACTAACTTATACACTCATTTAGAAAAGCTAGGTTTGACAACAAAAAAAAAAAAAATTCTACTCAGACACTTTTTATAGTATTTTTATGAAAAAAGCCAAAAGCCATTAAAAGCTAACGTAACTTAAAAGCTTAAAAATTAAGCCTTTTCGAACACCCTCGACGTCATTACGTCCCTCAAAACATCGTGTAGCTTCTCCCTCTCCTCTGGTCAAATTAACCGTCCACTCTGACTCATCGTCGACAATCACCACCACCGACAGTCACACCTCTCACCAAGAAAACCAAGGATTAATCTCATCATCACACAAACACTACCACACCAAACACCCACCGTTGTAAACCAAGGATTAATTTTTTTCCCTACGATCAAGCCCCAATTTTATCTGCGTTATGTCTTTCACTTTCAAACACAGAGACGTTAGACTTAAAAAAAGATAAAAATATCTCGTTACGCGCATCCTGCTATAGATTACAGTCAATAGAACAAATTTTCACTGTAGACCCAATTGAAGTTTTAATTACCAAAATCGACCGTTTTTTTTAATTATCAAAATCGACCCATTTTATGCCACGTAGGCTTAATCATGTTTCCTAAATAGTCGGGGTTGCCAACCCCGACTGTTTAGGACATTACAAATCGGGTTTTAAGGCTTCTAATTGGGGTTTAACAACTCCTAAACAGTCGGGGTTGGCAACCCCGACTAATTAGGAAACAGGATTAAGCCTACGTGGCATAAAACGAGTCGATTTTGGTAATTAAAAAAAAACGGTCGATTTTGGTAATTAAAAGTTCATTTGGGTCTACAGTGAAAATTTGTTCCAATCAATATGTTTGTACCATAAAGTTTTTGTGATTGGTTCACTATTTGTTTTCCGGTTGAGTTCAACGATGGAGTAATTAATTAGAAAAATTCCTCAAGGATAAAAAATATGGGATCAACAGGGGGACAAGTGAGGTGTCCCCCTCCTATTGCATAATGAGCTGGTCATCATTAATGATGCCCATCTCATTGTGCAATAGGAGAGTGACACCTCACCTGTCCCCGCTGTTGGTCCCATATTTTGGGTCACTGTAGCAAAGCTCTTTTGGCAAATGTTGCCCTCCATAAAATTTTGTGAGTCTATCGGAGGGTGGAAGAGTCGAAAAGTTTCATAGGCGGGGGTCTATTTAAGTTCAAAGCAACCGAATTGAACTGTTTTATTTTTATTTATTTATTTATTTATTTTCAGTTTGTGATTAATAGAGTTCTGTAGTTTTTTGTTTTTTTTTTCTCTCGCGTAGAGTTCTGCAGTTTAAATGATTGCATTCTGCAATTACTTTGAAGAACTTAGTGTCAGTTTATATGGGCATTTTTTTTGAAGAGCTTGGTGTCAGTTAATATCGGCCTTTTAAGGTCTAATTGGCTTTCCTCGTGGGGTTGTATTAATTTTGTTGGTTTTGTGATCTTTTATACTCATCATATCCTTCAATTATGGTTATGTACTACCCACAAGATTCACATACAAAACTATCATATTATTTGCTTAGTCTGTGGCTATCTAGGTTAAGTAGACACGTCGTCTAGGCTTCGCATTTGTCATTGTTTGGTAACAAGTATACCAATCTCTTCTCCTCTCTCTCTCTCTATATTCATATATATATATTAATATATATATATATATATATATATATATTATACTTATATTATATCTATTATAAATATATATTTAATATTATATATATATATTATTTATATATATATATATAATAATAATTATCACACGGTGTATTCACTTGTGATAACATATGGTTTAGTTAAAAAATTTCATGGTATACTTTTTGATCGTATATTTTATATTTCACCCTAAATTTATACTACTCATTGAACTCGGGACATGTTCATTTTAGCACATACGTTTGGGTATCTAGTTCAAAAGTGAGTTTTTTTTATTTTATAATATACTTAACAGAAGAAGTATAGATTATTTTATACAAAACCACCACAAAATATATAGGCTTTTCAGAAAACCACCACAGATTTTTTCCATTTTCATAGAACCACCACAAAGTATAGTGGTTTTTCGTATAACCGCCATATTTTTTTTATTTTCATAGAACCAACAAGAAAATATGCATCCCTAATAAAGTGCTACTGGATTATAATTTTGCATCTATATCTTGCTAAACTAAATAATGTGCTAAATCCCTAAAATACCCTCATGGTGGGAGCCACCCATCTATTATTATATTTTCTCAAACCAATAAAATACTTGAGCACCATTGATGACCCACATGGTTGGGAGGTTCCAATATGACTCCCATTATTTTGGGTTCGATTCTTGGTGGCCACATTATATAAAAAAAAACCTTATTTTCCTCTAAAACTATGCTAACTCCCTCAAAAAAGTTTTAATTTCCTCCAAAAAAACCCCGCTCATCCTCTCTAAAATTTTGTCATAACGGAGATTTATGTCATTTCATATAATTATTTAACAAAATACTAATGTAAAGTTATGACTTGGTGGGACTTTACAGAAGATTCAAATAAATTTTTCTTGGTGATTTTTTTTTAAAAAAAACCAGTATATTTTGTGACGGTTCTATTGAAAATAAAAAAAATTACGATAATTTTCTGAAAAAACCACCGTATTTTGTGGTTGTTTTGAATTGGAAAAACTCTAGGAAGAAACCACAATCGGCCCAATTGTAAAAGGGCCTCCAATTGGAGCACTGATGAAATCCAAAAACAGAGAGCAAAGCAGAGCGAACCGAAAGAAAATTTTCCCTTCCCAAACTCCTCCAATTTCAAAATTCTCTCTTTTTTCCGATGGCTCTCCTCACCAATTTGGACAACGCGGCGCGGCCGGGCGCGACGCGCACGAAGAGTGGGAGATCTGCAACGACAGCGGGTTCGTGTACAAGCGCCGCCGCCGCCCCTCCCAGCGACGCCGACGGCTCTCTTCGATCCCCATCTCCCTCTCCCCCGCAAGCCGCGACGTCGAGAGCCGCCGAGCTCGGAGAGAAGAAAATCCTCCTCTCTCTTAGAGGCAAGTACGGTAAAAGCTACCACAGTGGAGCAGCTCTCCTCCACTTTACCCTAATCACCGAACCCCCTCCTCCTCCTCCTAATTCTCCTCTACATCAGCTGTTCTACCGGATGCACGCCCACCCTTCGGCGGAGATCGAGGAACTGCTCCTGCTTCAGGTAGGGTTAGGGTTAGGGTTAGGGTTTTCTCTCGGTTCTGGTTCGAAATGTGGGTTTAGGGTTTAATTTTTGATGGTCCGTGTATGATGCAGGTTGAGGCTCAGGAGTCGGCAATAGGGAAGGCGAGGGAGCTGTGTGACTACGTGGATGCGGTGTGCGACGCCGAGGAGGAGAGGGCGGGAGAGGTTCTTGTGGATCTTCCGGTCTGGGGGAGCCCTAGGTGTTTGGTCGCGGCTCTAATGTCCTCATCATTGTAGAAGAAGAAGTGGGGGAGAGGGGGGGAGGGAGAAAAGACTGAGAGGTTTGCTTATTAGGTAACTCAATTCTCGAGTTTATTTTTTGAAATCAGTCCTTCAAGTCAGTAGTATAATTAGGAATTAGATGGGGTTTTATCGCCATGCCTGTCTATGCTCGAAGCATTTCTTGATCTCCTCCGTGGTTTCTGACGGGAGGTCAGCCCGGCCGGTTGAGCTGGAAGTGCCGGTTCTTTAGGACTGCTAAACAACTTGTAGGATGGAGCATGAACCCCAGCAGTTGTTGAAAGGCTATATTGGCTTTCGGCTCCATAGGATTACGTGGAGTGCGTTTATGATTGGTGTTGAGGTGAGATGATTGGATTTGAGATGAAGTTTTAGAAGACGGATTAATAGCTGGGCGTCTCAAAGTGGTGGTGTCTGGCGAGTCTTGTCTGAGAAATTTCTGATATTTATACTGGACTAGAGACTTGTCACATAGTTTTAGTAATCGTGGAAAATCTTCTGTAACTATGAGTTGCCTTATAAAGTAAATGGACGATCCAGGAGGAGGTATCTAATCTTGCTTACTTTGAATGGCATGATTAATGTTCTTTGTATTTATTGAGATAGATGACACAGTTTGATTTCATTTTCTTTACTTTCTTTTGTGGTCGGTTACTAGGATGCTACTGTCTATGGTGCTCTAGCACCATTCGCCCTGGTTTGAAAATTGAAATATCGTAAAATAATGGCCTGATTTTTATATGACTGCTACTGTGCTGTATTGATATTGGATATAATTGGCCAAATTCTATTCTACTCTAGCCTAGGTCTCTAATTTATGTTTGATCCTGTGGATTGTAAAATGACCATGCTTACTTGCATCTGCAATTAAATTAAATTAATATTTAAAGGGATAACTTAGGGCGTGTTTGGATTTCAATGGGGTTAAGGGAAGTTAAAGGGAAACTAGGTGAGAGAAGAGAAGGGAAGGGAAGGGAGTTCCCTTCCCTTTGGTTACACCCCAATTTGGGGGTAACAAATTTTATACTATTAAGGGGTGAACCAAGGGGAACTAGGGTGGTAACAAATTTTATACTATTAAGGGGTGAACCAAGGGGAACTAGGGTGAATAACTTCACCTCCTAAATGTTCCCAAACAAGGTGAATGGTTCCCCTAACTTCCCTTCACCCTTATTCCCCTCAATCCAAACAAGCCATTAGTGTTCAATTTGGATTCACTCTTGCTTGGCTCTCATATTCTTAACATGGGGCCCTTGTCTATATACATAAAGCATTCATTTAATTTCAAGCATCTTCAAATTTGAAATGGCTAGCATCATCCTCTTTGAATCTAAATCTAAAAGAAATGCAATTGTAATACAACCTTAATCTCTCGATTTCTTTTTAAAATATGCATATATAGGCTACAAGGATGATAACAGCTTATAAATACATGGCACATTAACTCAGTTTCGAAGTATTCTAGCTACAATTTCGCACTTCTCTCATTTGCATCATTCTTTTTCTTTATATAGCAAAGTAGCAACCAATTTCACCACTTTGATCTAAATTAACTTGCATCAAGGAGACAGTGAGAAAGAGATTATGATTACATGCTCTGGAGATGAGAAGAGTAATAATTATTCGAGATGTGCGATGCTCTTCAAGGATTTAGTTTCTTACATTTATGCTATTATTTGATATAGGTTTATATTTTCACCATACGGATTGCATTGGGAAGTATCTGTGCAGAAGCTTTGACTAAATGTTTAGCCCAAAACTTTTGGATCGAAATGAAGGGTAGCCAACAGTACCTTTAATGCAAAGAATTCAGCTCGGCAATGGTCATGAGCAGGAGTAAGGTAGTCCAGTGTAAAATGAGCTAAAGGCAATGGTTAGATTGATGAGATTCTTTGGCCAACCATCCAGATAGAATATGCATATGAGTTTGCGTCAAATATGTTTTGACTTTCTTTTCCCCCCCCTCACTTGCTATGGCCACATGCATGAGTGAGATACACAAATAACTTAATCAAAACATTTGGTAATAATCATAAGGCTGTGATTTTGGTCCCTGCAGAAGTTTCTTATATGATGCATTGCTGCTGGTGAATGAGGACTCCATTAACATGAATTAGCTGCGCACAATCTTGAAGTCGAGTCTGATGAACACCGTATATTTGATTGATTTCAACCTCCCCCAGAACCAATCAGCATTTAGTGACGGTTAATTTTTTCTTTTTTTTCTGTCATTTATAATAGAAGATTCTTTATTTGCCTTATCAAGTATCTTCTCTTTATATTGTGTACTCTTTTTTTCGTTTGTTTCTTATAGCAGTTAATGCTATATCAGCAATGGAGCACTTAGACCTTGAGTTCTCCAATAATAATTCTGAGCCCATCGTTTCACTGTTCTTCTACCATGTAGTTTTCCGAATTATGTGATGCTTTGCTTTCCACCAAGTTTTCTTCTTATGTAATCTACTTAATATAATACTATCCTAATTGATGCAGGACATCTTACGGGTTCTGAGTTATTATTGTTAGGATTAGAATAATGTTATCGGATTTTTATTTGATATTTTGGTTAGATATTTAGATAGTTACTTGATTCTCTATTTCATTAGTTAATTTGTTTATTTCATTAGATGTGATTTGTGGCATTGAATTTATTTTCTATTGTCAAGCTTCTTTATTAAAAACATGTGTTCTCTATTTTCGAGATAGACATTGATGAATGAAGTATATGAGTTGAGATTAAGCATGTGAGTTGCTTTTTATGTGTTTAGGTATGTGATTTACCTAGGGTGTGAAGCCCAAATTTATCTTTATTGTTTTATTATCCTTGTTCTTTTGTTTTTCTCTTCAAATTAATCTGCCTCCCCATCAAAAAAAGAAAAGGTTACCGTTAATGTTCTTCTTGGAGTTTTTATCGATGCTTTTCCATTCTCCATCACTAACTTATTCCTTACACGGTAACATAAAATTCTCGGCAAGTTTCTGGAAAAGATCTACATTCTATACTTTATTACAATTGGGGAAAGAATTGGATATATCTATATACATGTTGAACTCCTAGATATCGCATCTCTACTGTGCTGGACAAGCTTCACCCAAAATTTGCTCAAAGCCATATTTTAATGAAGTTAATATCAAGCACTAATGTATCAGAGAATCTTCTAATATGAGCAATATTTTGGATGTCTTAATGATTTCTTTTTCTTTGTGGGGGCAGCTGCCTCCTGTACAGGGGCTAGTAAGGTTATATTTTGAAGGCTCTCCCTGAAAAGGTAGTAGCCTAATTTTTATGATCAGCAGACCACAACTGGGACAAACATATATCTAAGATACAATTAACTCCTAAGATTTTAAATATAGAAGAGACAATAGACATATTTCTTTATTGTTCAACACCTTCTTCTATGCCATTTTCTCCACTCACTTACCTTTTCTCTTCGCTCATACTACTTTCGGATTACTGGTTTCATGTATCTCTTTTAATTCCTTCAGTATTGAATCTTATTAGCGGCATGAAGCATTTCCCATCTGCTAGTTCTTTTTGTTCTTTCACACATTAAGAAATCAATAATATGATCATTTTTTTGAAAGTTTGTACAAATATCATGATCCCTCCAAAAAGAACTGCCATGATCCTTAAAACAAACACAATTTCAACAAACATTATTATTAAATAGCTTTTACATTCACCCCTAGCAAAAATTGTTTGTTTCTCGGGTATATTTCCTTGTACTGAGGATCCCTTGGAAGAGAGGTCTGCTTGAGAAAACAAACTAGCAGATGGTCATTCTTTTAGCAGGCTCTAAAAATCACGGACAGAACAATGGTTTATAAAATAAGTTGATTTGAATATTTTTTAGTTGTTAATTACTTGAGATCTTAGTAGGATGGGCATAGGAAGTCTTTGCAGATGCAAACTTTGGTTGTGATGCACCCTTCTCCAGCGTTCTACAATAGGTTTTGATGTTAAGAAATCGAGTTCAAGAGTGGGAAAGAAAGGTCTTGTTAGCATGCGAATCGGGGGGAAGAATAGTTACCTTGAATAAGCTGTGAGATCTTGAAACTCACTAGATATCGAGGAATTATGTGGGTACTCATTATTTGCACCCCAAATAATGACATATTTTGTATGCAATGGGGGCATCAACGCCGTTATCATAACCTTCTCTGCTTGGGCCATATCGTTTAGATCTGGGAGTAACCCTCTCTGCTGTGCCCCAGATAAGTTGGCACAGTAGCTAAAGGAAACTACAGTTATATCATCTTTCCCCCTTGGCCGTAGCTAGCCCATGACATTTGTGCAACAACTGTCAACTTAGAAGAAACCGCAATTTTATGCAATTTGATACATATATCTACTATCTGCTCTAGTTCTGTTACTATCTTCCCTAGTTTCTGAAATAACGCTTCTTATGCTCGACGGCAGTAAAATTCCATTTCTTTGTTGGACAGGCCTAGGTATAGCCATGAATTTTTATTTGTGTGCATGGTTCTTCGAACGACAACTTCGCATGAAGTTCCAATTTCAGAATGGTTTGTTTGTTGACGGAAGCAGTCATAGATTTAACAAAGATAAAACAAACTTACGCTTTGTGTTAGGTTCGTTGCCGTAGGTTGGATATATTTCGTAAAATCTTTTTTCCTGTCTGTTAAAAAGTGCATGAGAAGCATGCACTAAGGTATTGGGGACGTCTTAGGGATGAAATATTCCCAATACCTTAGTATGTCTGAGAAATTGACGATTAGCTCTTAAGTCTATATCACATAATCCTGGGAAGAGTACATACCATAAGGCAGACCGGTCTCTTGATGAGAAATAGATGCCTGTACCAAATTTCCCAATTAAGACATCTTCAAGCCCGAAACCCCCTGTGATCATGTTCTTCAGGCTTCTGGCATTGACACCATACCATCCACACGTAATGTTATTGTAACTGTCGCGGGTTTGTGCCATCCTTCCAAATGCTCTACGCCAACTAGTACCAAATCTAGATGCATGTGTGTGAGAGTACACTGCTGTGACCTTTGCTGTTTTTCGGTAATCTCTAAGCTTCGTTCCCTCTATAAAGTGTGTTTCACCGCTCTGCTCTCATCATTAGTACTCTCCGCCAACATCCTCAGATCCAGGAAAGAGCCAAACGAAACCCAAGCCTCCTCCAATATTCGTGGCGTCTGTGACCTTACTCTGCCTCCACCATATATTTTCTTAGGGATAAATGACTTCCCTTCAGTGCCAATCCATGCAATGGAGGTCATGCGACTGTATGAATCTATCGGTATCATACCGATAACTGATAAGATTTGCTACAACTTCAACCGCGCAAATCTCTTTTTTTTTATTTGCCATGCTTCTGTGCTCGAAGCATTTCTTGATTTCTTCGACATTTTTGGATGGGAGGTCGACCCAGCTGGTCGAGGTGAACGGCATCAACGTTTCTGGAGTTCTTGTATTGTAGAAGGATTGCCAGTTCTGCAGTACTGTTGAGCAGCTTGTTGGATTGAGAATTATCTCCAGCGGCATTCTCGCTTGGTGAAGGGGATCGATTTCTACGACGCATGGTTGTTGTTGTTGGGGTCCGTTGAAGTCTTGGAAGTGAGTCTTGTTTGAGAAATTAGGGGTATTTATACTGAATTAAGATTTGTCAGAAAATTTTTAGTAGTTATTGTGCAGAACTTTATGTTTAAGAACAAAGGTTTTAATGTAACTTTTATTTGAAGAACCGTGTATCAGAAATTGTGAGTTTAGTGCAGAATTTTCATCTACAAATCATATGGCATGAAGTAGTGTGATCTCTGATGCTCTGACCAATTTCACTGTTGTATCATAATATGGTTGCATTGAAGTTACTGACATAACTTTTGATTATTCAATATTTCCAGTTGTGTGGCCCTTAACACAGCTTGTGATCAAGTAATGTTTTTGCAAGCAATTTGCTAATTATTATTCCTGGCTAAGTTTGGTGCATGAACTCAGCATGGCACGGTACAACACTACTTTTGTGACAGGAATGCTTTGGACGTGCATAATGCTTGGCGTGCTTAATTAGAATTGTTGATGTTTTAAGCTTTTACTTTGATCAGAAAGTAATCTGTATACATTCCATTATGCTGAGATCAAATTATACAGTAATTTCATATAATTTTAGGAAAGTAAGTTTAAAATTGGTTAATTACAGGGTTAATTGGTATTAGTCCTTTAAATCATCCATAATTGCGAAACAGTCTCTCAGATCTAAGTATTTGCTCATTAATCCGACAAATTTGCAGTTTTCTTGCAATTTCATCCTTTTTAGACTTTTTGCTATTTTCTCTAACCATGGTTGGGTAATCCAACGTCTGCAATTACCTAAATACCCACTCTAGTATATTTTTAGAGGGAATTTTGCCATGGGTTGGGGGTGCCCTTTATTGTTAGGGGAGAAGAAATTTATGCGTTAGATTTGTGGATAAGCAGGTTATGAGTTTAAACCTGCTAAGAAACGGGTACCTCTTATTCCGTTACATATGATGGAATATTCCACTCAAAACTCACATTGGTTTGGGTACCTCTTATTCCGTTACATATGATGGAATATTCCACTCAAAACTCACATTACTAAACCAGACCGACGAAATTGCAATAGACATATAGACTTTGGGAACTATTGAGCAAATTATGAGATTTGAGGGACTACTATGCAGTTATGGGCCATTTAATGGACTAATATGCAAGCACCCCTATAAATCGCTGTTAGTACTAAACATGATTATGATATTTTTAATAATCCAACCCTGAATCAAACCCAAAATTATGGTCGTCATATTGAAATCTGCTAACCGTCTGTAAGAGCATCTAGATCCGTGTATACTCTATTCATATTTATTTTCATAAACAGAATCTTAATAATTTTGAAAACAACTATAAGATTCAGGTGAGTTTTGTGCTGTTTTTTTTTTGTTGGTGGCTTCACCACTTGAATTGGGAGCGTAGCTTTTCTTTTTTATAAGCACCTCTTTGGGCTTCCGAGTTGGTGGTCCCATTCTCTCTCAAACCGAAAAGTTTTAAGTTTCGGGTGGGTTTCGGATCTTAATTCGATCCGTAATCAGTTCCCCACCCGGTCGCCACGCGTTTGGCTTTTTCCTCTGGACTATTAACTGCTTCTCTCCTCTTCCTCTTCTCCTTTTTTTGTTAAAATGATTTTTTTTTTTTAAATTTTAAGAGATCTCTTCTCCCAAATTCTCTAATCTCCCATTGAAAACCCTAACCCTAGCGTCCCTCTACTGATATTCTCATCCTCTCGCCGATATGGGCATCTCCTTTCAAGGTCTTGAATCACGCTATTTTTGGTCGTAATTGTTCAATTGCTATCATTTGCTTGAACATAAGTTTTTTTAACTGAAATTTGCTTTTTTTTTGGTCCTTCGAATGTGAGAATGTGATGGGAATTTTAGTTTATTTTGTATAACGCTTTCTAATGGCACACACATGAAATCTTCCTAATTAGACAAAGTTGAGTCACGCGAATTTGTTATTGTATAATGATCTTTAGCTGCTTGTAAACATTAATTATACTTACCATTTTTTATAAAATAGCTACAAGTCATAATTGGGAATAAGTCCATGACAACTTAATGGATAATCTGAATATGAAACCTTGACCCAACTTACCTTTCTAAGCTTCTGTAGATAGCCACAAGGATCGATCGAGAAATGTTTTTTCAGCAGATTATAGGTTGAATTGATTCTTAAGGGGTGAATAAAACGTATCAGATGCGGGTAAGAGAATCTGATGAGCCTGATGGAGAACGGTGCGACCGTCTCCTTTTCGCTCAGTTCTTGAAAAAAACTCTCTTGTTTTCTTTGAAACATTGGGGATAATCTACCGAAATTGGACTGCGTGTTTTTTCCCCTTCAATTTATTGTTTGTAAAGTTGATCTCATATTGCAATTTTTTTTCAGTTGAAGGAGTGGTGAATTTGGAAATGGCGCTAGAGGGATGAACTGACTTTGGGGATGTCAAAAAAGACAATTACCCTGGGTAATTATTTAACTTTTTTGGTCGGATTTAAATAAATAATTTTTTAATAGATCTGCAGTAATGTGAGCTTGATTTGGTAGTGAGATGGGTGTGTATGGATCTTAGTAGAAATTACTATTATTGTCAATATCATTTCTGTAATTGTATGTTTTAGGAGATTGGTAAATGATAGGATTAGCATGAAATGTTTTATTTTAACATTACATTTAAAATATGAGAATGCATATTGTACTTGACAAACTTTGGTGCTGGGATTTATCATATCTGAGCTCAGTAAAGAACTGCTTGCATCTGCTATTTCCTACAAACGTTTTAGGCTTCAAATTGTCAGTGCATTTATGGAATTGTTATGACTTATTTACTAGTTTGGTTATTACTACATGTGAATGTCGTCCAACCGTGGATGTCCCATGGATAGGTTATCTGAATAATGGTTTTCAATAGGTCGGTTCTGTTAGGTTGATTCTATTGCATTAGGAAGATATCTAGAGTCTTAATGATTCTTTTGCTTTTGAGATTGAAGTACTTGCGAAGTTATATTGTAAATCTTCTCTAGAAAAGGTGATAAGTTTAATTGTATGATTAATACACAACATATGAGAGGACCATATAGCATTAGAAAGATGCAATTGACTTGTACGAACTTAACAATAGATAAAAGATAATGGACAGAATGCTTCGAATTGGAATTTAATCATTAAACCATAAAGTAAGTTGTTCAGAGAATACACGAGCTACATATTTGAATTACACATTACATATTAGGATGTATCTATTGACCACGTCGAAGGTATAAAAAGGCTATTCCCTAAATTATAGAAATAATTTCAAAATTCACGCTGGATCAAGTTGTTTTTGTTTCTCTGGTACCTTTCCAAGTACCGAGGACACCTTGGAAGTAAAACCTGCATGAGAACACATACATTAGATGGTTTGTCTCTTAGTGACCTTTAAAAGTTAAAAAGAGATTATTAGCATAAGAAGTAATTGATATAAATTTTGAGTGGTTATTTTACTTGAGGTCTTAGCGGGATGGGTTGGGGGAGTCTCTGAAGACTTGAGCTTCGCACTCGCTGTAATCTTCTCCAGCGTTCTACAATAGGTTTTGACGTTCAATAAATTTTATTTCAAAATTGAATAAATGTCTAAATTATTAGTATACAACTAGAAATCGAAGTTACCTTGCGCAAGCTGTGAGACCTTGAAACTCACAAGATAGCGAGGGATAAGGTGAGTACTCATATTTGCAGTCCAAATAATGAGCCATCTTGGATTCCTGAGGTCGTCAACTCCGTTATCATAGTCCTCTCTACTTGGGGCATATTGTTTGGATCCATGAGCTATCTTTTCTGCTGTGCCCAAGATGACTTGACACAACAGCACATGATACTCTCCATTAGAATCAGGCCTTGAATAACATGCACTGAGAGCATATAACTTATTCAGATTAATAAGAAAATAAACTACCAAGCTCTTAACTCCAATCAAATATAGGACAAACATGAGAAATGTCTATGTATATACGATTCTACGCAGGAATTAATGTTACTGTACAGAACATTACACTTGGTTTAGCCTAGGTATATTCATGATTATACAGATGTATGATACTCTTTTTTTCTTCCAAACCATGATTTCCGAGAAAGTTCCAAATTGAGTTTGCAAAGTGTTATTTTTATAGATGAAAGCAATTATTAACTCAAGAAATATGAAATTCAACATATTTCTATGCATGTTATGTTCACTGCCATAGGCCATATATATTTTGTTAAATCTGTTTTTTTTTCTGTCTTTTAAAATAAGCTATATAACTGACGTACTCTTATCTACATATTGAAAACTTGTTCCCAAGATATTCCAATGCCTAAGTATCTTGAGAGATTCATACATTGAATCTTAGTGAAGTAATTGTGTATATTTATTTCTAAGTACAAGATCCATTGTGATAAATTAGATTGACTATGAACAAGCATTCTTTCTCCAATGCCACGAATAATAAAAAGATATGACCAAGCATGCTTATTTACTGAAGAAATCTAGAATAATGAGAAGAATCTAATAGACTAATACATAAATGCTATACAGAATGTAATGTCTATAAAACATAAACTTGGTACGGGAAAATACCTTAAGCAAGGGTTGTTTCTTGTTGAGAAGTATATGCCTGCTCCATATACCCCACAAAGTGCATCGTCAAGCCCGAAACCCCTTGTTATGATGGCCTCCATGCTTCTTGGATCTGCCCCATACCATCCGTATCTAAGTGTTGTAAGACTTTTGGCTGAATTTATGAGTTCAGCCATCCTCTCAAATGCCCTCAGACTACTAGCACCAAAAGCTGATGCATGTGTACAAGAGTACACTGCTGAGACCTTTGCCTCTCGATCATTACCCTTCATTCCTTTTATAAAGGTGTTTTTAACCTTTCTGTGCTTATCATCAGTCTCCTCCAACTTCCTAAGATCTACCAAAGACCCAAACGATTGCCTAGCCTCCTCTAATATTTGTGGTGCCCTTACAATGCCTCCACCAAATATCTTCTTTGGGAAAAATGGCTTCCCACCTGTATCAATCCACGCAATAGAGCACATTCGACCAGATGAATCTAACAACACCATGCCAAGTAGATTTGCTACAACTTTAAGTCCATCTATGTCAACTTTTATCGCCATGCATCTATGCTCAAAGCATATCTTGATTGCCTTTAGCGTCTCTGATGGGAGGTCAATCCAGCCGGTTGAGCTGAAGTACATCAGC